CCTCCCCAAGCCTCCCATGTCCACCCAGGAGCATCCTCCCACTCTGCTGAGCCATCAACCGGCGTGCCATTGCTGTCCAGGCCACCTGATGCCTCTCCAGAGGAACCCACGCCCAGCCACACCCCTCCACAGATATGGTACCCCCACTCCCACCCTGCAGCCTGATCCCTGGGGATCACTGTCTCCGGGTTGTTCCCAGAAGGGTCCCAGAGGCACAGTCCTGGTCTCTGGATGACAGCAGATCTCTGCTTGGCCTCTCTGATCTTGGATGCTCTCCATGACCTCTACCCAACATCTGGGAGTCCTCTGTTCTATTCGTCTTTGAAGTCCGTGGTGTCTCCCCTCCTTGTCACTTGATTAAACTCCCAAGGGCCTCTGATGAACCCTCAGGCCCCTATGACTTCTGTGACCTGTGGGTAGCCTTGATCTCCAAGCTGACCTCTGTTTTCTGTGTGACCTCTGACCTTTGAAGACCCGTACTCACATGTGACCTCTATGTCCCTTAGATGTTCACTTGACTCTACTTGACCTTTTTGACCTTTGAATAACTGACCCCTGAATGATGTCTTTGACCCTTTGATGACTTTTGACCCATGTATGACCTCTCTAATCTTTGGACTCATTGGCATCTATGACCCTTGGATAACGCTTGTGCCTGGATGACCTCTGAGCCCCAATGCCTTTGGCACTAAGCTCTCCAGGCTCCCACAGGGGAGGTGGCCCAGGCATCCCCTCTGACCCCTTTGGGCCTCACCGTCTGGTCAGTGAGGGGTGGCAGCACGATGGTCTTCTCCATAGTGTTCATGACCAGCTTCCATAGCTCCTTCAGCACCCGCTTCAGCACTGTCTTCTCGCAGATTTTGGCAAAGAGAGTCAGGCTGGGGATGAAGGGCAGGTCTGAGAGTCCAGCTGTCTCTGACCCATGGAACCAGGCCCTTCCCCTCAACATATAGGCAAGGTGGAAGGCATCCCATGGACACGCAAAAGGGCATAGCGCCTGTACAGGGACCCCTGGGTGGTCTGATGGGGCTACGATGCGTGATACATGTGGAGAGCAAATGGTGGCTGGACAGCTCAGCAGGAGCCAGATGGGAATGGGGCCTCAAAATCTGGGAGGAAGGCCTGGGTCTTAGCATGAGGGCAGTGGGGAGCCATAGAGTGTTCAAGAAAGAGAGACAAAGATAGACTCTACTGTTCAAATGAACAGAATGCTTTTGACTAGGAAGGCTGCACGGAGATCAGGGACTGTGAGGGGCCTGGGCCATGGTCAGGAGAGAGGGGAAGAGAATGGTAGGAAGAGGGTAGACTTAAGAGGGAAAATAACAAATAATTTGTGATTAAATGTATGAGGGTTGAAGGAGAGAGGGCAATCCACTATGATCCATCCAGCAAATGACTCCCCCGCTCCAAACCATCCATTCCCCAACTTTCTTTAATGTTCCTTCCATCTCTTTTCCTCCCTTCCTTCCTTCCTTCCTTCTTTCCTTCCTTCCTTCCTTCCTTCCTTCCTTCCTTCCTTCCTTCCTTCCTTCCTTCCTCCATCCCTCCCTCC